CAAAAAAAAAAAACAAACCCCTGGGTTCAGGCAGTCCTCTCTCCCCTGCTTCCCAAAGTGCTAGGATTCCAGGCGTGAGCCATTGCTCCCGGTTTGTCCCCTCTGTGCTGTGCAGCTTTTTAAAAATGAGCCCATAGGACTTTACAATCAGGACAGAAAGGGCTTGCTGTCCTCAGGGGAAAGGAATGAGAAGTATGACTCTATTTCTGTGACAATCTATATCCTCTGTGATACAGATCCAGAACACAGCTCAGAGGGAAAGTCCCTGGGATGGCAGGAGCCATGGTCTCTTGGGAGCATGGGAACAGGTAATATTCTCTCGTCCATCTTACTTTTCCGTTTTGCCAGATTTGTTTTCCCTTCCAGCTTGTATTATTTTATAAGAATAAAGAATCACAGCTATTTTTATTTTGGTTTAAAATAAGGAATATGGCCTATAATTCTGTTTTTGAAGGTAAAAAATAAAAGTCTACCTAGGCAAAGCCCAGAGGCCAGGAGGAGGAACCCCAAATGCCAACGGTGGTTCTCTCAGGGGGGCTGGGATTATGGGGGATCCTGTTTATTGTTGTTGCTGCTGCTGTATGTTTGAGACAGGGTCCCACTGTGTGCCCCAGGCTGGGGTGCAGTGGTGCGATCACAGCTCACTGCAGCCTCGGCCTCCTGGACTCCAATGATCCTCCCATCTCAGTCTCCCGTGTAGCTAGAACTACAGGTGCACGCTCCATGCCTGGCTCATTTTTTGCTGTTTTGTAGAGATGGAGGGGTCTCGCTATGTTGCCCAGGCTGGTCTCTACCTCCTGGGCTCATCCTCCCACTTCTGCCTCCCAAAGTACAGGGATTACAGTGAATCGCTGCACCCAGCTAAGGATCCTGCTTTTTACATGCTGTTGTTGTTCAGATCAACAGAGCCCGCGCTTTTTAGAATCAGGGAAGGAGGGGGAGATGCAATTTCAGCACAGACTCGGCAAAGGGCAGGAAATCAGAGTGGTCCTGGGTGAGAGGAGACAGGGAGTGTGGGACATGTCTGGGTCTGGTCATGGGGTCGAGGTGGGCAGGCTTCAGGGGATGGTACCTGTGTTGTCGGGCATGGTGGCTTGGTCGGTGTTCCTTTCTCGCCTCAGGACGATGTTGCCGAATTGCAGAACCGCCGAGACTGTCCGCAGCATGGCTGGGGTGCGAGGAGAGAGGTCATGGGGGGTCTCCAGACCTGATGACTGGTCTGAACCAGACCCTTCAGCATTTAACTTAAAAATCCTAGCCGGGCTCAGTGGCTCAGCCTGTAATCCTGCACCTTTGGGAGGCTGAGGTGAGTGGATTGCCTGAGCCGGTGGGTTCGAGACCCGCCTGGGTAGGCGAGACCTCATCTCTACAATAAATTTAAAAATTAGCCGGGCATGGTAGTGCGTGCCTATAGTTCCAGCCACTTGGAAGGGTGAGGCGGAAGGATTGCCGGAGCCCAGCAGGTCGAGGCTGTGGTGGCCGGGAGCGGCCACTGCACTCCAGTCTGGGTGACAGAGTGAGACTCCAACTCAAAAAAAAAAAAAAAAAATCCTTCGGTCACGGCCAGGCTCGGTGGTTCAGCCTGTAATCCTAGCACTTTGGGAGGCAAGTGGAGTGTCTGAGCCCACGGATACAAAACCCGCCTGGGCAACTTGGTGAAACCTCATCTCTACAATAAATAAAAAATTAGCCGGGCATGGTGGCGCGTGCCTGTAGTTCCAGCTACTTGGAAGGCTGAGGTGGAAGGATCGCCAGAGTCCAGCAGGTTGAGGCTGTGGTGGCTGGGAGTGTGCCACTGCGCTCCAGCCAGGGCGACAGAGTGAGACTCCAACTCAGAAAAAAAAAATCCTTCAGGCAAACGATGCCACCAACCATCAGTGGAAGATACATCTGACACTGGGTAGGTCTTAAAATATGTGACCCAACCTATGCGCTCTGGCTTATTTTGTATCAGAGGTTTCCCTCGTCTGTTCACTGTCTGCTCACGTTGTCTTTTCCTTTTTTCCGAGTCGAGATCTCACTCTGTTGCCCAGGTCGGAGTGCAGTGTCACGATCACAGCTCACTGCAGCTTCGACCTCTTGGGCTCAGGTGATACTCCTGCCCCAGCCTCCCGAGTAGCTGGGACTACAAGAGAGCGCCACTTCTGGCTCATTTTTAATTTTTTTGTAGAGACGAGGTCTCGCTGTGTTGTCCAGGCTGGTCTCAAACTTCTGGCCTTACACAATTTTCCCACCTCAGCCTCCCAAAGGCCTGGGATGGCCGGTGTGAGCCACCATGCCTGGCCCCCCTTTTCTTTTTTTTTTTTTTTTTTTGAGTTGGAGTCTCACTCTGTCGCCCAGACTGGAGTGCAGTGGCCGCTCCCGGCCACCGCAGCCTCAACCTGCTGGGCTCTGGCAATCCTTCTGCCTCAGCCTTCCAAGTAGCTGGAATTACAGGCGCACGCCACCACGCCCAGCTAATATTTTGATTTATTGTCGAGATGAGGTCTCGCCTGTCCAGGCGGGTCATGAACCTGCGGGCTCAGGTAATCCACTCACCTCAGCCTCCCAAAGGTGAGGGATTACAGGTTGAGCCACCGAGCCCGGCTCAGCCCCCCTTTTCTTATTGTCCTTGTTGTTATTATTATTATTTTGCTGGACAATGTTAAAGCCAATCCCAGACATGGCATCATCTCACCCCTAATAGTAAGTCCACTTGGTCTGTGCCTCCAAAGATGATGAGGACACATCCTCACAGACCCATGATGCTGTTGTCCAACCTCCAACCCAACACGCTTGACATCATTCCCTGACATCAGCTTAGACCCGTCGGACTCAGGTTCCCTCTGTGGCTGTAAAATGAACTTTCACAGGTGTCCAGAAGTCTGCGTGTGTGTCAAGCATGTGGGCGCATCTGACGCCCTGAGGACCTGGCAGCTAACTCAGGCTGTGACTTCAGACCAGCCCATCACAAGCAAGCCTCAGAAACCTCGCACAGAGGCCGACATGCCTCCCTGCCTTCCTGAGTCCCAGGCTACCTGCTCCAGCTCTCAGCGTGGCTTTGATGATGCCCAGGGCTGGTGGGTGGAGACAAGAGGTGGGCAGAAGAATGGATGGAAACCCTGCCTTGACTGGCCCCAAATGCTTTCTGCCCGTGCGTGTGCCTCTCTGAGGATGGCTTGTGGGCAGGCTTTGGGAGCAGACCCAGATCCCACCACGCTCTGCCTCCTCCTCTTAAATTGGGATAAGTCCTAAGGCTGGACACTCCACCTCTCTGACCCTTTGTCTCTTCTTTTGTTCAAGGAGAGTCTATGAAAAGGCGACTGACTCCACTCCTTGTAAGTGGAACACAAAATAAAACCGTCATGAGAGCCCTTCTGTCACATTTGCAAAACCAAAAAAGTACACAGCCATGGTGGTGGCCTGGATATAGGGACACAGGCTCTCTAGGTGCCGGTGAACCTGGTCATGAGCGCCATCCTATGGAGGGCGACAAGGTCAATTCTCTACAATTAAAACTTGCTCCAGACTGTGCGCAATGACTTAAGTCTATAATCCCAGCACTTTGGGAGGTGGAGGCGAGAGGGCTGCCTGAGCTCAGGGGTTCGAGACCCGCCTGGGCAACTTGGCGAGACCTCGTCTCTACAATAAATCAAAAAATTAGCCGGGCATGGTGGCATGTGCCTGTAGTTCCAGCTACTTGGAAGGCTGAAGCAGAAGGATCGCCTGAGCCCAGCAGATCAAGGCTGTGGTGGCCGTGAGTATGCCACTGCACTCCAGCCTGGGCAACAGAGTGAGACTCAAAACAAACAAACAAACAAACAAACAGGAAAAAAAAACCTTACTCCAGCCTGGGGCAACATAGCAAACCTCATCTCTACAAAAAGTAAAAATTAGCCAGGCATGGTGGCGCGCACCTGTAGTCCCAGCTACTCGGGAGACTGAGGCAGGAGGATCAATTGAACCAAGGAGGTAGAGGCTGTGGTGAGCTGTGAGTATGTGACTGTACTCCATCCTGGACAACAGAGTGAAACCTTGACAAAGGTGGGGGGCAGGGGAGGGGAGCAGAGGGAAAAGCTCCTCACCCCCAAGGTGGGGCAGGGGTTGGGGGCAGAGATGAAGCCCAAGAGGCTCCTGGTTTGTCACTGCTGGGGCTCCTTACACCCTTCCCTCTGTCTGCATACATGTTGGAGCTTTTCCCTAAGATAAACATCAAAATTATCCAGCCATAAAAAGGCACGAAGCCCTGACACATGCTACAACACAGATGAGAAGGAAAACACGGTGCTGAATGCAGGCAGCCAGCCACGGAGGGCCGCGTGTCGTATGACTTCATTCTTAAGAAATGCCCGGAATAGGCATGTGTCCAGAGACAGAGAGCAGACGAGTGGCTGCCAGGCCAGGGGCAGGGCCCAGGGGGCAGCTCAGGGGTGGCGATCTTCTTGGGCGAATAAGGATGCTCTAAAGCAGATGGCCACGACAGAGACTCAACTCTATGAATACGCCAGAAGTCACTGAGCTGCACACTTCAGCTGGGCGAGTGGTGTGACATGCGAATTATTATTAGTAGTAGTATTATTCTTGAGTCGGAGGTCTCACCCTGCCACCCAGGCTGGAGTGCGGTGGCACAATGCATGGCTCACTGCAACCTTGACCTTCTGGTCGCAGGCGATCATCCTGCCTCAGCCTCCCTAAATGTGGGAACTGCAGGCATGAGTCACTGTGCCCAGCCATGATATGTGAATTGGATTTCTTTCTTTTCTTTTTTTTTGAGTTGGAGTCTTACTCTGTCCCCAGGCTGGAGTGCAGTGGCCTGCTGCTCATGGCCACCACAGCCTCGACCTGCTGGGCTCAAGGCGACCCTTCTGCTTCAGTCTTCCAAGTAGCTGGAACTACAGGTGTGCACCACCACACCTGGCTAATTTTTTGATTTATTGTAGAGATGAGGTCTCACCATGTTGCCCAGGCTGATCTCAAACCTTTGGGCTCAGGCAATCCTCTTGCCTCCACCTCCCAAAGTACTGGGATTACAGGCTTAAGCCACCATGCCTGACCACAAATTGTATTTCAAATAAGACTTACCGATTTTTTTTTTAAACTGGGTAAAAACATGAATTGCAAACTCCTTGGACCCCGCATTTCATTTCTAAGATTTGATCCCATGAATCTGGTCACACATGAGCACAAGGACCTACTTACAAGAATATTCAAAGTAGCTTTTTTTTTTTTTTTTTTAATCATTCCAATAGTAATGGAATGAAAACAGCCTAAGGGTCTGCAAGGGATTGGTTGAAGGAATCATAGTTCTTCTGAACAACGAACCGTTACACAGGTGCAAAAAGAATTGAGGTCCATCTGTATGTACTGGAGCAGAAAGATGGCCAAGGCTGGGTGCAGTGGCTCACGCCTGTAATCCCAGCATTTTGGGAGGCTGAGGTAGGAGGATCACTTGAGCCTAGGAGTTCAAGATCAGCCTGGGCAACATAGCGAGACCCTGTCTTTACACAAAATCAACTGGGCATGGTGGCTCACGCCTATAATCCCAGCACTTTGGAAGGGCGAGGTAGGAGAATTGCCTGAGCCCAGAAGGCTGACTGAGGCTGTGGTAGCCGTGAACATGCTATCGCACTCCAGCCTGGGCAACCGAGTGAGACTTCAACTCAAAAAAAAAAAAAAGACCAGGATATATCATTTGGTGGGAAAGAAGAGGCTGGAGCACACTACCACAGGGTTAATGAGCTAAGTACTTAACTGCGGTACTGGCTAGCCCAGATCAAGCTAGGTCAAAGTCTGAGGGCTGAGGTGGAAGGGGGACAGAGGGCCGGTGTCACCTGCAGCCATCAACATTCAGGCTTTTAAAATGCAGCCATTTTAAACCAGGGAAGAAATTGCCTCACTTTTTTTTTTTTTTTTCTGAGTCAGGGTCTTACTGTCACCCAGGCTGGAGTGCAGTGGCACAATCACAGCTCACCACAGCCTCGACTTCCTGGGCTCAGGCGATTCTCCTGCCTCAGTCTCCTGAGTAGCTGGGACTACAGGTATGCATCACCATACCCTGCTAATTTTTTTTTTTTTGAGTCAGAGTCTCACTCTGTCGCGCAGGCTGGAGTGCAGTGGCCACTCCCGGCCACCATAGCCTCGACCTGCTGGGCTCCAGCGATCCTCCTGCCTCAGCCTTCCGAGTAGC